ATAACCGGGTTAATAAACATGAAATAGAATCATAGTTATTAAGTCAATTTGGGTTTCGACAAAATCATACCCAAGACTTAATCGGGAAATTAGATGTCGAAAGGATTTTACATGTATGGAGTTGTAATCGGAATAGGTTTACTCGCTATTCACTTAATACTAGATTCATGCTACTTGCTAGGTGTTACCATGATATGTGGGTTCATAAATTAAAGGGTTAATTCATGAATAAGAGTTAATAAGATTTAACTCAAATTACAAAGTGTTGTAAACCCACTACTAGTATTAAGGTGAACCTAAAAGGTCACACTAATTATGAACAAAGGTAAAGATTGTATTTCTAATGGTTAGAATTAATTGATAAATATCTAATTTGATTAGATATCAATTAAAGGAATATATTAATCAATAAGATTGATTAATTACATTTTGGATATTACTTTAGTAATTAAGGTAATTACTAAATTAATAAAGTTGAATTTTAAAATAGGATTTTAAATTTCAAAAATCCAAAATAATAATAATATGATTATTATAATATTGGGAAAATGATATAATAATAAAGTCTTGAGAAAGATTCTCAAGATTTATTATCCAATTATTATTTATATCTTTAAATATGATTTAAGGATTAAAATAATAAATATGATTATAATAAAATGGTTGTTGATGGTTGTTTGAACTACTTAACATATCTTATTATTTTCAAAGTCAAAAGTTAGTAAATACTATTTAAATAAAATTTGATTTTATTTAATATTACTAAATGTTGATTATTTTATGCTAAAATGTTTAGTATAAATATATGCAAAATGGTTTTGCATTTAAGTGAAGTTTTTGATCCTAAATTTCTAAGTGTTAGAAAGAGAAGAAAGTGTTCTTCATAAAACTTCAAGAAAGAGTTCTTAAAATTCCCAAATAAAATTCATAAATATTCCTATACAAGAAAACCGAGTCTTTTCTACTAGCGAAGGAAAGTCGTCGGAACCGGGCTTCATAGGGTGGATACGTTTAGAGGGAAGACACTTGGATTCCTCTAGCGAGTAACCTCAAGTCGTTGAAGTTACAACCGGGAACCGATTCCCTCATCCATCATCAATAGTGAAGGAGTTCAAGATATTCGGTAAATATTTTTACTAGTATTTACTTTATAGTAACAAATCAAAATTTGTATATGATGCATGTTTTAAAGATGACGATCAGTTAATTCGCAATTAGTATGTACGGGTGTTGTATTTATACGATAAATACTTACTTTAAAAATTTTAAATTCCGCTGCGTACAGCCGTACGGTACTAGCGAACCCAACAAATAGTGCTCAACAAAACCTCTTATAACGGTTGAGCGGTGCATAAGTCGAAGGGGAAGAACTTCAGACTAACGAGTTCGAAGGTCCCACAGAACTATTCTTAGGCAGAACATCAAATTGGGAGGCCTACAATAGACTGCTAGGCAAATCTCTGAGCTAAAGCATGGAGGCCTATAAAAAAACGTCCCACAGAACTTCGAGCTGCAGCTCGAAGGCCTACAAAAGAAAGAACAATGATTGAGCAGAACTCTGTGCCGAAGCTCGGAGGCTTAGTTAACCAATCCCTTGCTTAGAATGTTAAGGACCTTGTTTTTCGTTTTTGTGCTTGACGACTGATTAGTGAACGAAGCTCGGAATAGTCTTCCTCGAGAGATACGACCCAGGATCAGGATTTATTCTGTACTCGGCTAAAAATTACAAATATAATCTCGCGTCCGCTAAAATTATCGCCCATGTAGCGAGTGTCGTAGAGAGACCTGCGAGACCGTCCGCCAGCAACTTGTTCCGCCAGCCATCAACGAGAACCATATGCCATGCGACCTTGTTCGCTAGCCAGTGAGTGCCAAAGAGTCCCAGCGGGTTGTTTCACCAACCAATGAGTGTTCCCTACTAAATGGGCATGTGTTTTTGTGCGTGTTTGAGGTATGAGTATAAATACTCTTAGCCCATTGTAGTTTGGGTGTTAATCCTTCATTTTCTTAGGGGGATGTATTCAGTTTCAACTTTTAGAGACTTTTTAAGACTTTCAGAATTCTGGTGTACTCAATCAGAACTTTTACGGACTTCTCAAAAGTTTACATGTATTAAATTGAGACTTTTAAAGACTTTTAAGAAGTCTTTAAAAGTCTCAAGGTATTCAATTAGAACTTTCTGAGAGTCTCTACAAGTCACCCTGTATTCAAAATAAAAAAACTTTATGAGACTTTTAAAATTGTGAGACTTTTAGAGACTTTTCTAACAAAATTACAAAGAGAAAGTCCTAACAGAAATCTCATCAATATTGGTGAGATTTTGCTTGACTTATGTGACTTTTTCACGCTCCCTTTCTTTTTTCTTTCTAACATGACTTTGTCTCTCATATCACTTTCATGCTCTATTATTTTACTCATTTATTTTGATACCTTGTATAATTTTTTTCATTACGTTTATTTAACGTGATTGTTATTTTATATATTTTTTATTATGGTTATTTTATGTATGTATACATTTATTCTTTCATTTTGTTATCTTGTGAATTTGATTTTTCAAAGGTTAAATGTTTCCATAGTTTGCACTTGCAAATTCTCTCTTTTTATTTGTCAATGTTTATTTTTAAATATTAATAAAATTATTTTATTTTGTAATAGTTTATTTGTTGATATTGAATAATTTTGAATATTATTGATAACTTTATAAAATACAATTACTGTTTTTCGACAATGTTTGTATCTTCCATAGTTCGACTCGTTGAAACTCAGATCGATTTGCTCGTTTAATAAATCTAAAATCCTAAACAATTTGTTAGTGAATAACTCATTTTTCGTAACAATGAGTTGATTCATAAATTTTTAGAGAATTAATATATAAAATATTTTTTTTATTTATTCTTCTTTATATTAGCTATTATATTATGTTTATTCATGTTTCATTCAAACATAATATTATAACTACAAGTATATAAAAGTCTCAATAAGTTTTTAAAAGTCCATTATGAAAGTCTTAAAAAGTTACTAATGAGAATTATATGAAAGTCTCAAAAAGTCTACCAAAGTTATGAAAATTTTACAAAGTCCACAAAAGTCACCAAAGTTAAAAAGTTTTAAAAAGTTCTTAAGAATCTCAATTGAATACAACCCCTTTAGTTTTTCTCTCTAGACTTAGTCTTTTGGAGGTTCAAACTCGTATTTTCTGGTGACTTTTTTCAGCAATGTCGTTTTTTGGTAAAGTTTTGATCTTTTCACATTTATTTCGCTCGTTAATGCATTAAGGAAGTGAATACCTAATTTTAGGACTTATTATCTCGATTTTTGCTTACTTAGTAGTGTTAAGAGATAAAAGTAGTTTCTTGGTCGGAATTTATATGATGAGCTCGATTCTAGTTAAAGTTTCTATCTTTTGGCTTGTTTTGCTTGCCTAGAGTAATTAGGTTGTTAAATTTTGAACCTTTCAATGTAACATTCGAGACTTTGGTTAAAGGTCGATTATTTCGCAATTGATTTTCCAACTTTAGCGTCTAGTTGTGTTAGGTCGAGCTTATTTCTCTTTGTTTGCGTCTTTTTATGGGCTTTGAACACTCCGGTACGAGTAAAGTTTATAACTTTTTTCCAAGCTTGCTCTTTTAATTAAATTACTTTCAAATGCTTAGTTAAAATTAATCTAAAACCAACCCCAGTCAATCGTTTAGAATGTTTAAGACTTTTATTTTCTGTTTTTGTGCTTTTGACATCTAGTTTGTAAACGAAGCTCCGAAACACCGTTGTTGAGAAGACAACCCGAGGGAAATCTTTTGATCGTACTCGATTAAAAACAAAACAAAATAAATGGGCTCTCCTGGGCACGCAGGACCACGGGTCCACCGGCCAAGAACTTTCCAGCGACTTTTTCGGCAATTTTCTGGCCAGTTTTCTAGTGACATCCAATGAACTTTGAGTTCATTTTCCTACGAAATAAAAGATAAAAAAAGAAATAAAAAGCACAAGACACCAAATGACAAAAAAACACAAAAACGAGCAAATAGACCGGAAAAAAATCTAAAATTAACTAAAACAAACACAAATAAAACACATACAATCCACACAAAATAATGACAAAAACATAGAAAACAGTGATAAGGTGTTGATTCCTCATATCATGATAACTCCTTCTAAGGTTAAAATACCTTTTAAATTCCAACAAAGGCAATTTCCCATCATGGTTTCCTACATAATGACCATAAACAAAAGTTGGAGCCAATCCTTATTGCATGTTGCTTATTTTTGTAGAAATCTATTTTCAGTCATGACCAGTTATATGTTGTTGGCTCCATTATTCCTAACCGAAAGAGTTTGAAATTTTTAATTTGTGAAAAATATGATTTGCTACAAAATCATACAAAAATTGTTATGTATAGAAAAATGTTCAATAATATGATTGTTCATAATTTGTATTTCACTTCTAGGAATGCAACCATAATAAATGTATCAATTAAGTGATCATCATAGTTAATCAATCTTTTTAACTAATATATCGATTAATGTAACTAATGACACTCATTTCTTTATTAATAGTCTAATTCCTTTTTCTTGTCACTAAAAAATTAAAATCCAAAAAATATGTGATACTCTTCCAATAGCCACCAAGCACATCCATCATCGGTCTAATTTTCTCTCACGGCCCACATCATACTTATTAGCTTGGGCCAATATATTGAGTTCGTAATGGCGTCTCGATAATTGATCACATGAACTTCCGTCAATACTTAAATCCCCTAATATATTAAAAAATACTGAAAAATAATACATAAGACATCAAATAAAATAAATTTATTTAATAATAAATAAGTAAAAAATATTAATATGGGCATAAATTAAACATATAAACTTATAGTGTTATATTTATATAATATGCATAGTTTTCAACCAATTCATCAATCACTATATTGACAAGGTAAATAATTTGGTAATATTAGTCATTATTGTCAAACAACACACCTTTCCATTACTTTGAAAAGGTCCACGCTTTCTTAATTTCGACTTTTCTCAGGTTGAGCAAAATCCAGAAAGATATTTTTGGGCTTTGGGGGTCATGATTGAATTGGCATGAGTACAAGTTTTGGCACGTGGTTAGGCAGCATACAAGCCTACCAATATATAATACAGACATCTCATAAATGATAAAACAAACACTATTGTACCCTCACTGCACAAAAGAAAACTCTGAGAAAAAATGGCCGCAAAACAGAGCAATCTCCATGCTATCATCATCCCTCTACCGTACCAAGGCCACATCAACCCACTAGTGAATCTTGCTCTTAAAATCGCCTCAAAGGGCATTAAAGTCACATTTGTACATCTCGAGTTCGTTCACCTCAAGCTATCAAAGGCCCACCACAACACCACCAGCAGCATCGACTTGTTCTCCGAGGCCCAGAATTCGGGCCTCGACATAAGTTACACGACAATCGGTGATGAATTTCCTCTCGATTTTGACCGAGACCTCAACTTCTCTACGTACTGGAATTTCCTCGTTCGGGATTTCCCGGCCCGTGTAGATGAATTTGTCGGGAATTTGATTAAATTGGATCCCGGCTCGGCCCATTTTGTAGTGGCCGACCCGATATCCTCGTGGCCTGCGGCTGTTGCGGAGAAGTACAATCTTGTGTATGTTGGTATGTGGACACAAGCGGCTTTTGTGTTTTGTTTGTCTTACCATTGGGAGCTTCTTAGAGAAAAGGGTCATCTCACGTGCAAAGGTATGTGTATAAGCAGTAATACTAGTGAGCATGCCTAATGGTTAGTTATTCAAATTTTTTCGAACACAATTTTTTGTGTGTGAGGTGGACTAACGATTAGGCGAGTGTGACCTGCTAAAATTTTTGAACAAAATGTATATTACTATGAAATGTCATACTTTTGTATATATTATTTTTTAAAATATTTTATTTAAGTATGAAAGTATACACATTTGTTAAAAAAATATACTTGTCTAACAGTAGGCTAAAAGTTTTTTCAAAACATGTGCATAATTTCAAAGTACAATGTTATAATCTAAAAAGTAATATAAACAAAACTGTAACATTTGACAATATAAATGTGCATTTTTGTTAAAAATGTATGACGGGTCAACTCGTGGTTAGACTGTCTTATATAATATTTTTATTTTGTGTCCAAGTGACTTTACCGATCCTTACTGTGTATCCTGCAAAAACTGAAATTTGCACAAAAGTTCATACACAAAAATCCATATACAAACTGAAATTTGAAATGGTATAACCTTATTTTGTAAGTTTGAAGATTCAATACCTGGTCTACACAATATATTACAGTCAATTGTTGAATTATTGATAACGATAAGGATATTGAATTGATCTTGTCGTTTAAAAATCTTATTCTTAGTAGGGTCCCACACTTGCGTTTTGTGCACAAATTTCCGTAAGATGCGATGCGGTTGTGGATTTTATGTCCGATTTTCTCATCAAAATTTTTGCACGAGATGATATAACCGCATCGACCGTCATACTTTTTCTTTAAACAAAAATACACATTTTGTTTTATAGTTTTACTTATTTGACATTTTAGTTTTAAAAGTATGTATATGAGTTTGAAAAAGTTTATTCTGTTGAGTCAAAATGGGAAGGCTGCGCCCATTTCATTTGACAAGCAGCAAATGAATAAAAAAGAAGGAAGCTTCATTTTGTTGAAAATTGAGCACGCATTTGTGGAAAATTTGATGCAATTTTTTCTCTATAAATAGAGGAACAAATGTTAAGAGGAAATCACACCAAAAAATACAACAAAACTCAAGAAGAAAGAGGAGAGAGGGTGAGCTAAATATAATTTAGCCTTTGTGTGTATTTTTGAGTTGTGAGTTGTGAGTGAGTTTGAGAGTGTTTGTAAACACGAGTGTATTTTCTTTTTCCCAATAAAATATCTGCAGTAGTCCGGAGACGTAGGCATTATTGGCCGAACTCCGTTATCAATTTGGTGTGTCCAATTTTTATTTTTTATTTCACTTTTATAGATCCGACTTCATGGAAATTTCAGCGTATTTTTCCCAACAACTGGTATCAGAGCCAGATTGTTAATTCTGTATTTTTTTGTGTGGTGTTACTATTCCGTTGAAAAACGTGAATAGTACCAATTTTGTCGGCGCTACAAATTTATCTACCGACGTGTTATAAAACACGGTAGTTCACAAAAATTACGGAAACGATCCGGCAGAGAAGTCAGATCAGAGTTGAAGTGATGGCTGCAGACGAAGGAAAAATGAAAATCGAAAAGTTCGACGGTGCGGACTTTGGCTTCTGGAAGATGCAGATCGAGGATTATCTGTACCAGAAGAATATGTATCAACCACTCACAGGAAAGAAGCCAGAGGACATGAAGGAAGAAGAATGGAGTCTCCTCGACAGACAAGCTCTTGGAGCCATCCGGCTGACGTTATCCCGTAATGTTGCTTTTAACATTGCAAAAGAAAAGACGACAGCAGGCCTCATGAAGGCTCTTTCCAACATGTACGAGAAACCATCGGCCTCAAATAAAGTTCATTTGATGAGGCGATTGTTCAACCTTCGGATGACCGAAGGTGCTTCGGTGGCACATCATCTCAATGAGCTCAACACCGTCACAACCCAGTTGAGTTCAGTTGAGATCGAGTTCGATGATGAAGTACGGGCTTTAATACTTTTGTCTTCCCTACCAGAAAGTTGGAATGCTACGGTCACAGCTGTGAGTAGCTCATCGGGAAACAATAAGTTGAGATTTGATGATGTTCAAAATTTGGTTCTCAGTGAAGAGATCCGGCGGAGAGAGTCGGGTGAACCATCGACCTCTTCTGTATTGCATACAGAGTCAAGAGGAAGAAGTTCAACCAAAGAAAGCAGACACAACAAATCAAAAGGAAGAAGATCCAAGTCCAGAAATCATCGTAATTCCCAAACCTCGAAGTCGATCGAGTGCTGGAATTGTGGGAAGACTGGGCACTACAGAAACCAGTGCAAGAGTGCACCGAAGGGTCAGGAGACAAAAGAAGAGGCAAATGTTGCCTCATCCTCAGGAGGAGATATGCTGGTATGTTCTTTGGAGAACAGAGAAGAGTCTTGGGTGTTAGACTCTGGAGCATCCTTTCATGCTACCTCACAGAAGGAACTACTCGAAAATTATGTTCCTGGTAACCTTGGTAAAGTTTACCTTGGTAATGAGCAATCATGTGAGGTTGTAGGGAAAGGTGCAATAAAAATCAAGCTGAGCGGGTCTGTATGGGAATTGAAAAATGTTAGACATATTCCCGACCTGACGAAGAATTTAATCTCCGTGGGCCAGCTAGCCAGTGAAGGCTACACGACAATCTTCCATGGTGATGATTGGAAGATTTCAAAGGGTGCGATGACAATTGCTCGAGGCAAAAAGAGTGGTACTCTTTACAAGACCTCAGGAGCATGTCATCTGATTGCAGTTGCAGCAAATGAAAGTCCCAATCTATGGCACCAAAGACTTGGGCATATGAGTGAAAAAGGGATGAAGATCATTCACTCAAAAGGAAAATTACCAGGCCTCCAGTCAATAGAAATTGACATGTGTGAAGGTTGTATACTTGGAAAGCAGAAGAGAGTCAGCTTTCAGACAAGTAGAAGAACTCCAAAGAAGGAGAAGCTTGAGCTCGTCCACTCTGATGTTTGGGGTCCAACCACTGTCCCATCCGTTGGTGGGAAGCAATACTTCGTGACTTTTATCGATGATCACTCCAGAAAGGTATGGGTTTACTTTCTGAAACACAAGTCAGAAGTATTTGAAGCTTTCAAGATTTGGAAAGCTATGGTGGAAAATGAGACAGGCTTGAAGATCAAGAAGCTCAGATCCGACAATGGTGGTGAATACGTAACCACCAGATTCAAGAAGTTTTGCTATGAGCACGGGATCAGAATGGAGAGAACCGTGCCTGGTACGCCTCAACACAATGGTGTAGCTGAGCGTATGAATCGAACGTTGACTGAAAGAGCCAGAAGCTTGCGTGTGCAGTCAGGCCTACCAAAGCAGTTCTGGGCAGAAGCAGTCAACACAGCAACTTACTTGATCAACCGAAGTCCATCGGTACCACTGGATCACAAGTTACCAGAAGAGGTATGGAGCGGAAAAGAAGTAAAACTCTCACATCTTAGAGTTTTCGGGTGTGTAGCTTATGTGCACATCAGTGATCAAGGTAGAAACAAACTTGATCCAAAATCAAAGAAATGTACTTTCCTTGGTTATGGTGAAGATGAGTTTGGCTACCGCTTATGGGATGACGAAAACAAAAAGATGATCCGCAGCAGAGATGTCATCTTTAATGAAAGAGTGATGTCCAAGGACCGGCATAATACAGGTGCCAGCAACTCAGAAGCGAGTGGGCCAGTTTATGCTGAGGTGGAAGATATCCCAGATAGTCCTATAATGAGGAGTCCTCAGTCAAAGGAATCAAATGAAGAAAGTGATGTGCAATCAGAACCTCCTACTCCAGCTCCTGTATTGAGAAGGTCATCTCGGCCCCATGTGCCTAACAGGAGATACATGGACTACATGTTGCTGACTGATGGAGGGGAGCCTGAAAATTACATGGAAGCTTGTCAAACCACGGATGCTAGCAAGTGGGAGCTTGCCATGAAGGACGAGATGAAGTCCTTGATCTCAAATCAGACATGGGAACTAGTCAAGTTATCTATGGGAAAGAAAGCACTTCACAACAAATGGGTGTATCGGGTGAAGGAAGACCATGATGGTTCCAGGAGATACAAAGCCCGACTGGTTGTCAAAGGATTTCAGCAGAAAGAAGGAGTTGACTATACTGAAATCTTTGCTCCAGTTGTAAAGCTCAATACTATCAGGACTGTGTTAAGTATTGTGGCTAGTGAATAGCTCTACCTAGAGCAATTAGACGTGAAGACTGCATTTCTTCACAGAGACCTAGATGAGGAGATCTATATGCACCAGCCTGAAGGATTTTCAGATGGAAAGAAGGATATGGTGTGCAAATTGAAGAAGAGCTTGTACGGCCTGAAACAAGCTCCAAGACAGTGGTATAGGAAGTTTGAAAGCTTCATGCACAAGGAAGGCTTTCAGAAGTGCAATGCCGATCACTGTTGCTTCTTTAAGAAGTATGAGTCCAGCTATATCATCTTGCTACTTTATGTCGATGACATGTTAGTAGCAGGATCAGATATGGAAGACATCAGAAAATTAAAGATGCAGTTGTCAAAAGAATTTGACATGAAGGACTTAGGCTCAGCAAAGAAGATTCTTGGAATGCAAATCACGAGAGATAAGCATAAGGGAGTTTTGCAGTTATCTCAGGCAGAGTACATCAACCGTGTTTTGCAAAGGTTTAACATGGACAAGGCTAAGCCAGTCAGTACACCTTTGGCCAGCCATTTTCGTCTATCCAAGGATCAATCTCCTCAAACAAAGGAAGAAGAAGAGTTCATGGCTAAGATTCCTTATGCTTCAGCCATTGGAAGTTTGATGTACGTGATAGTCTGTACTAGGCCAGACATTGACCATGCAGTGGGAGTTGTGAGCAGGTTTATGTCAAAGCCAGGAAAAGCTCATTGGGAAGCAGTCAAATGGATTTTGAGATATCTACGGGGCACAACAGAAAAATGTCTGTACTTTAGGAAAGGAGATCTAAAGTTACAGGGCTACGTAGATGCAAACTTTGGAGGTGAAGTTGATCACCGAAGAAGCACCACCGGTTATGTTTTCACTGTCGGAGCTACAGCTGTTAGTTGGATGTCGCGGATACAAAAGATTGTTGCTCTATCCACTACAGAGGCTGAGTATGTAGCAGTGACAGAAGCCAGCAAAGAATTGATATGGCTTCAAGGATTGTTAGCAGAGTTGGGTTTCACTCAAAAAGAGAGTATCTTGCACAGTGATAGTCAAAGTGCAATACATCTGGCAAAGAACTCGGTGTTTCACTCCAGAACTAAACACATTGACATACGATATCATTTCATCAGATCTCTTCTCGAGGATAAAGTGTTGACTTTGAACAAGATTGTAGGAAGCAAGAACCCTGCAGATATGCTAACGAAGGTGGTGACCATTGACAAACTGAAGTTGTGCTCAACTTCAGTTGGTTTGCTAGAATAACAGACCGGAGAAGACTACTGCAGTAATTGAGGTGTGAGGACAGATTGAAATCAGTCCTCAAGTGGGAGATTGTTGAGTCAAAATGGGAAGGCTGCGCCCATTTCATTTGACAAGCAGGAAATGATAAAAAAGAAGGAAGCTTCATTTTGTTGAAAATTGAGCACGCATTTGTGGAAAATTTGATGCAATTTTTTCTCTATAAATAGAGGAACAAATGTTAAGAGGAAATCACACCAAAAAATACAACAAAACTCAAGAAGAAAGAGGAGAGAGGGTGAGCTAAATATAATTTAGCCTTTGTGTGTATTTTTGAGTTGTGAGTTGTGAGTGAGTTTGAGAGTGTTTGTAAACACGAGTGTATTTTCTTTTTCCCAATAAAATATCTGCAGTAGTCCGGAGACGTAGGCATTATTGGCCGAACTCCGTTATCAATTTGGTGTGTCCAATTTTTATTTTTTATTTCACTTTTATAGATCCGACTTCATGGAAATTTCAGCGTATTTTTCCCAACATATTCTCCAACAATAATCTTAGTTTTTTATTTTTTTTTTTTCCTAATTATGTGATACTATATAACAAGAAACTAGGATGTCCTGGATAAGGTATTAATAATGTTCTCTCTTTAGAAGTAGAAAATAATTAAATGAAGAATCCGATTAGAAAAACCTTTTTCAATGATCATTTTCTCCTCATAAAATGAAGTTCTACGCGGACCTTTCCAATTATATTCGTCAAAAATTGAAATCTAGATCTCTTATTTTTTTTGCCATTAAAAAACTATAAAAAATTGATTTTAATAAAGCATTCACATTCAATAAACAAATGTGAAAAAATTACAAAAAAATGTAAACCTATTATCATCTGAACCTATAATATACTATGGACCTAACATTTTTCCCTTTTTTTTTTCCTTTTCTCCTTTTGCCGGCCGTATATATGACTAGAAAACGACGACTTGGAGATAGACTACATTCCCGGCGTCCCGTCGATCTGCACAAGGGACCTCATGAAATATATCGACCCGCAACACGTAGTGTCCGAGGGCATGTCGATCGGACTTAAAGACACCCGAAAGGCCGACTTCATCCTCCACAACACAATCGACGAGCTCGAGCCCCACGCCCTCTCGACCCTCAACCGACTCTACCAACCCAACTACGCGGTGGGGCCCACACCCTTCTACCCCAACCTCCCCACGCGCTCAGTCCCCAAGAGCTTCTGGCCCGAATCCGACTGCGCGGGCTGGCTCGCCTCCCGGCCCGCGGGCTCCGTCTTATACGTCTCGTTCGGAAGCATCGTCCAAACTAGTGAGAACTTGATCCGCGAGGTGGCCCACGGGCTCCTATATAGCGGCGTGAGCTTTATATGGGTCGTTCGTGACGACTCGACTAATAATGTTTTGCCAGTCGGGTTCGAAGACGAGATTAAAGATAAAGCGTTGGTCGTGCCTTGGTGTGATCAAATAGGGGCTCTGTCGAGCCCTGGAGTCGGGGGTTTTCTGACGCACTGCGGGTGGAACTCGACGCTCGAGTGCATGTGGTGTGGGGTCCCGATGATTTGTTGCCCGTTGGATTTCGACCAGCCGACCGTTACGAAGCTTGTGGTGGACGATTGGGGGGTTGGGATTAGGCTTAGCGAGCACGGGAGGAAGGTCGATAGGCACGAGATTGGGGAAAGGATTAAGGGTTTTATGTCTGGGTCTATTGGGAAGGGGATTAGGGAAGAGGCTGGAAAAGTGAAGGGGTTGTTTAGGAGAGCGTTGGAAGTTGACGGGTCGTCGGAGAGGAATTTTGAGAGGTTTGTGGATGATTTGAAGGAGAAGGTTGCGGCTCGGGCGGGGAATTAGTGAGTAAAATTGTTGCCAATGTTGCAATAATTTGGGTGTGACATGGATTCTTGACTTAAGAGTTGTTCTTTGGGTTTTTGTGTTACTTTTTAATGAAAATAGTCCTTTTTAATTTCATCATAAAATATACAAATATTTTCACACTGTCATAATAAGTTAACTTTTCATTTCATCAAGTGTGAAGATAATATGTGATAAGATACGCGACAGATAGGCGAACAAAATTGATGAGTAAGTGCGAAAACGATGAATTATGCGATAGTTAGGCGATAAATATTTAGAGATTCGATGAGTAGTACGGTCAATCGCGAGTATATCGTCTTATAGTCGCATATATAGCAGTTTATTTTAAACAATTATTCTTGTTATGCGAATGAATTTACAACCTTTAGGCGAATAAAAAAACATAATAACTTATGATCTCTGGAAATTTTCTATTCAACGTCGCACATTATTCGCCGAGTTGGTACTGAAAATTCCTATTCAAATAATTACTTTTAAAAATATAATTTTTAGAAAAAACTTGTTCTGTGAGTAAAATATTAAATTTAAGATGCCATTGCTATAAATAAGTAAAAAAGGCATAAATAAAAATAAATATTTTTATTTCATAATTATTAATAAAATTACATGAAAAAATATTGGAATAAAACAAATATAAGTCATAAAATCTCGAGGACCAGCAAAAGCTGGTCGATCTTCCATTGGAGGAATAGATATTTGGCATTCGTNAAAAAAAAAAAAAAAAAAAAAAAAAACTTCAAACATGTCAACTTCGACACATTTGAAGACAATGGTGTTCCCTTCTTCCACACCCTTGTAGTGGAGGAAGGTACGTCATCCCCTCTCAAACATAACACTGCCAAGCTGACAGCAACAACAACTATCTAGGTAGACCCCCAGGTTTTTTTGAACTAACAATCTGTTATAACTGTCAGGATCTTTGATCGAAGATTGGCATCTGCGTTACAGGCAGAACTTGCATTTGAAATTTATTTGTTTTAAGTAATTTGTTTAATAACGACTAATAATTTCTACCCAAATTCTAAATAAAATTAATGCATGGTTAATCAACTATTAAAACGCAATAATAACTTCAAACAGTTATCGGGATGCGGAGGTAGACAATCTTAACCATGAAGGCATTTTCACCTTTTTTTACAGGTTGTGATCGGGATGTGGATAAAATATTTTTGGACTCTATTTATGCAATATTTATACTGATGTGTAACATTTCAAATTCCCACATAATCATTACATACCCTCAATCAATAGACATGCAAAAACGACTGTTCGGATGACTAGTTTGCCTAAAAAAATCTGAGTCTTTATGCGACTGTTTGCGACGGATATGCATTTATTCGTAGGTCAATCACATGGTATTCGCAACCTCTTTTGTGTAAAAAATTATTATTGTTATTAAAAAAATGTTGACTGGTTTGTCGTGGAAAATGAGATTCTTTATGTTGTTGTTTCGTAGAGCATATGCAATCGATTGCAGGTCAACCGCAGGGTGTTCGCAAACCACATTTTGTGTAAAGCAACTATTATTGTTATTAAAAATGCGTCAGAATAAATCGCAGAGTAACATTTTTGAAATTTATTTTTGGCAAATTCAAATTTTTCAATTAAACTGCGAAAGAGATATGCAGATTAAATTGCAGAACTATTATATTATTTATTTATTAAATATGCATCGATATTGTGATCCGTACTTGCTTTCATTTTTTTTATTAAAATTTGCTTATTTGTAGGCGAATCGATATAAGCAGAATAAATCGCAAATTTGTTTTTGTTTTATTGTTGATAAATTCGTATTATGTGATTAAACTTCGAAAGATACAAATAGTTATATTTTTTAGAACCGTTGTATTTATTATTTTATTAAGAATGCATTGGAATTGCAAAATTATGATGCTTGTTCTGCAAATAGGGGGTTAGCGGATGGGAAATCCGTGGACTTGAGGGGAGATATACTTCTTAAGTATTCAATTATTACGATCAGTTAATATTGCAACTTTTTCCTAAAAAATGTATGACTTTCTGACTCAATACATATAGATTCTTGGAGTTGTGAATGTAAGGGCCACTACTTAACTTCTAGATTCGTCTATGCACGGGGAAGATGCGTGTTTGACCCCCTATGACACATGTATGTAAAAAATGAGGGTGAGCACATTCTTGAAGCTCACGTCAACGCACTAAAACCACGAAAAGAACTAATTCAGGTAACTGTGGCGTGCTTTTTAATCCTAGTTAGTTTCCAACTTATATGTCAACTCAGGGGCGTAGCCACATGGTGGCTCATCCAGGCTCTAGCCCAGTCGAAATTTTGGTTTTATCTAAATATGTAGTAATAAAAAAATATTTTAGTTTACACTTTAGTAACTTAATTTATGATAAAATTCTTTAGTTGATAATAGTTTAAATTTATTTTATATTAAACCAAAAATTATACATATTTTTTGACATGACTCAAACTTTTCATATGTATTTTTTATTAATTCATATTATTTATATTACTTTATGTGTGAAATATATCAATTACTTGTTAACTTTTAAATAATGATATTTGAATATGTGAAATATATAATTTATTTTGTTAATTTCCGTAGCATATTCAATAAAACAACATTTGGAATTCCACAATTTAAGTAAAACATCATATAACAAGTATGTTAGGTTAACCTGTCTATTCAATAAAATGACATTTGGACTTCCACAATTTAATTGAAATATCATATAACAAGTATGTTGGATTAACCTACCTAATAATAAAACGTTAATCTCATAGTGGTATTTGAAATAATTTATATTATTTTTATATGTCAAATTTAAATAGGCAATAAGAAATTATGCGACAGTACTATTTTTTATTTACAAAACAACATGACATATGTTTAATATTTATTTTTCATTTATTTTGTAAGTTACACTAAACGTTTAAAAAATTATCATACTTTGAATTTTCACATACAGTAGCGATACTAGTGAAGCCAAATTGAGTCGAATACGTCGTATTCGAACTTGTGCTCGTAAAATAAATGAGCAAGTTTGGCTCGGAGTATTTAATAAATCGAGTGAAATCAATTATAAGTTCTGTTTGTTTGAATTAATTTTTTATTGTATGTTTTATTATATGAATGGGACAAGATTGATTTCTACGAGCCGAACTGAGTTGTACTCCCTAACAAATCGACTCTAGCAGCCCAGGGTAAAAAATATTTCTGGCTACGCCTCTGTGTCAATTAATGGTGTGTCTTGAATAGTCAAGATAGCTTTAGTGTAGTCAATATATTTTAAAATTTAATCATTTTTGTTTTTATTATCAATTTTTTTATATAAAATAAATTAATTAATAATCATTTAGCTTTAGTGTTGTGAATATATTTTAAAATTAATCATTTTTATTTTTATTATTAATTTTTTATATAAAATAAATTAATTAATAATCATTTAATGACATTTAATTTGATTTATATTTTATAAAAAAAATAAAAAATAACTCTAATTAACTAAATAAAATTATTTATAGTAAGTGTACAACATAAGTTTAAATTATTATAATATAGTATGTAATGTCATCTTAAATAAATATAATTATACATTTTAACTCATATTTGATCTATTACAATTATAAACATGAAAGATCATTAATCGGCAGCCCACCATCAGAACACGACGTGGATTGTTCACAACACACAGTTTCAGCTATGAAAGCACGTGGGATTGTGAACGAGATTGAACAGTTTCAGCTATGAAAGCACGTGGGATTGTGAACGAGATTGAACGAGATTGTGAACGGCGTTTGGAATATAGAAAAATTAGCACATTTAAAAGCACATTATCTGAAGCACCAAATTATGTTAAATAAAAAAGGAAAACTGAAAATAAAGAATAATATTTAATTATTAGACTAGAAATTTATAATATAGAATTTGATTTTTTTAATTTTGGATATTAGATTTTTCATTCTATATTAATATAATTTTTTGTATGTTGAGATAAGCACATAACGATCAAAATAGAGGGATGTAATCAGCATTCCAGAATTATCTGATTGTTTGATATTATCCAAAGAAATAATTAAACTCACTATTTAGAAAAATACTAGAAGATGAAGTACGGATAGTTTATGTGATAGATTATGTAAGTAAATTCGGAAATTTATTAGATTTACTGTGTTTTTTTTAGAAATATCAGAAGATGAAGTAGGGATAGTTTGTGCAAATAGTTGTGGACATTTTATGTAAATAGTTGTTGACAATTTAAAACAACAAGTACAACACCCGTGTATTACACGGGTGCTTGTTAAAAAATTATTCTTATATTTTAAAATTAAAAAAATAATTTAAAATTTTATTTACTTTTTCCACAAAAAATATATATTATTATATATTTTAGAATGACACTTGTTATTTGTGGGACTTACATGTGTTATATTATAGTAATTTTATAACTTATATCATGTAACTACTTGAAATATAAATATATTACTTGATAAATAATTTTGTTTTTTTAATTAATATTAACAAAAATTATTATTGTTATAAAGATAAATATAATTTATTTTTTTATACATACAATATGGATGTTAAATTGAAACTCATCAATAGATAATTAATTTGATATATTATATATGTAAAACTGATAAAAAATACAAAAGTTATTAACTTTTAAAATATATTTACAATTCAATGTTTATAATAAGAAATGATATTAAAATGCAATTCAAACATGTAACATGACCATAAATAATCAACATATTTATGGATACTCCGAATCTAATTATTTTTGGATTGGAAATAAATTAAAATCTACCCAAACTTAATAACAAAGCATGTAATCTTGGTACATAAGATCCCAAAGCATGCAAGCCTACCACTTAGCCTCAGCACCTAAAAAAATAGGATGATATATTTGAGCGAAATGTGACTTTAGAAACGTAATCCATAATGAAATTTGTCTTCCAAATTGAACAGCGAAGAGAATGAAATGGACAAGAAACTACTTTAAAATTGAGTTGTAAAAAAATATAAACTACTTTAATATTTAAGAGACACGAAACCTACTAAAAAAATAAGAGAGAGAGAGCGATTTTTTTACTTAAAAAAAATAAGAAAAAATAAAGTGGACAAGAACAAAAAAAAAAAAAAAAA